TACCTTTGAGGGTTGGGCAGGTTTGGTCTAGAATCCGCATCTAGTTTCTTATTATATAAATAAGTAAAACAACATGATATTAAAGTTGTCAATTATTTGATCAAAACATATGAAAAACACATAAACTACCAATCTTTATTCACATAAAATTCAAAATATTATTAAATTCAACACTTGACACATAAAGTTCGTTTGCCTACCAATAATATGTGGGTTGGGGAGGATTGGTTTTATCCTAACACTATGCCCTACCCATATGCATACAAATTGTAAAATCGCAAAACAAATCCCCATCACAAAATCCTTTTTTCAAGCAGAAAAAAAGTAAAAATAAAAGCTCTCCCAAATGAGTAGGGATGGCAATTTCTATCCCTATCTAGTGTGTATGTATATATATAGGTATGTATAAACATGCATTTTATCTTTAAAAATGTATAATTACTTTTTAGATGTAATATATGTATATATAAAGATTATACTATATTTATTTTATATTTTTTAATTTAGTTTAATTTTTTATTTGTAAAAATGTTAAAATTTGCAATTTGAGAACCAAATTATTTTTGCAAAAAACAGCAGTACAAGGCGCCTTTTGACACCTTTGGATGCATAGATCTCAAAACGTTACCCAAAAAAGATCACCCCAATTAAACATAAGATTGCAAAGTTATGACTTCTAAAAATTTACATATATATTGACCGTGCAATCCATGACCTGATGATTAGATTGACCTGGTCAATGGTTGAACCACCTAGGTTGGACCCTTTTTGACGAAACCATCATTTTTTTACCAAAACATGGGTTTCAGCAAAATCGGATCCAGAATTAAGGCCTGGTGATGGTTTAAATGATTGACGGGATGGAAAAATTGGCCAAAAGCTCATTCACCCCCAATGTCCACAAGATGAGGGAAGGAATGGGAGAAAACAATAAGAAGCAAGAAATGTGAGAAGTTAGTAATAGATTACCATATGACTGCTATGTTCCTAGCTTTTTAATTGGGTGAGGAATATAAAAGGAAAGGGTACCCTTACACACGTTTTCTTTAAATTCTATATTTAAAAATAAACTTTGATAAAATTTTAATGTTAATACAATTTTTTTAATAAAATTTTAAATAGCTTAAATTAAATTATAATAAATTAAAATTAAAATTTTGAAACAAATAGGAATATTTAATTCATTTAATTTAAAAATCATGTTTATTTAACAAAATCGGTGCATCACATGGGGTTTGCTAGATAATAAATAGATACAATTATAAATTTATAATTAATTATACCTTGTTAAAAAAAAAAGCAAGAAGGAAAAAAAGGTTGCATCTCTATGATTTCTACCATGAATCTTCAAGAAGACCAAAATTGAGAAAAGGGCAAAAAACTTAAATATACCTTCAGAGAGAGACTTAGGAGTTGTGTTCACATGATTTGTATCTAAGATGCAGAAAACCTTTTGCATCCACCAATAACAGTTCACCATGTGAGCCTAGTTTCGTAAAAAATTGAATATTATAATCATTGTTAGGATAGATTTCTTAAACTATCACTACTCATAGTGTGACGGGATATGCTCCTCACAAATGGGCGCCTTACAGGCACATCCACGTGCATTGGCAATATCTCAATAATAACTAATAAGTACGAGAGATATTCCCAATGCATGATAGATGTGCGTATGAGGCACTGGGTGTGAGGAGAAATCCCGTCTCACTGTTTGTATCTTGATAATTATTAAATTATAGGATAAATCTTTTAAACTATACCTACTGTTTAGTGTAATAATTAGCTATTGTCTTGCGTTATCCTTAAATTTTAAAGTTTTTGACAATTGACTAGCTCTACGTCAACTACGTTATTATCCCGTTAATGTTCCGTCAAAATTTAAATTCATACACCCGTGACACCACGTAATTTATAAATTTTTTTCAAAATCCAATTTTACACTTTGTCCCTCTCCTTCTTCTTCACCATCCCTCTCCCCGACACAGTGTTTCTGTTTCTTTGCCGCCATTGTCACCACTGTCGTCGTCTCTTTCCGACCACTTTCGCCGGTGACTTCTTCTTCACCCTCTTCCTTTCCCTCTCTCCCCATCGAACTGAAACAATCACCGAAAACTTCACTGTTCACCTTCATCCGCCGTTTTAGATGCAGGGGAGAACAATGATATGGAACAACGAAACCAACGGGGATTTCTAGTAAGGAAGGTTCCAGGCGGAGGAAGAGAAGGAACAGTGTACCCAACTTAGTCGAGGCTGATCTCGGTGACTGGGCTGATGCCGGCGAGAGAACGAAGGGGAGAGAGGGAGCGGCGATGAGCTCCGAGTGCATGGAGGGGTCCCTTCGCCGGTGCTGCAACGAGCTCTGAGTGCGACGGCTGTGCCGAGAGGGAGCGGCGACGAGCCCTTCGTTGCCTCTCTCTCCCCCGTTCTCTCTCGCCCCTGTTTCATCAACGGAGAGAGGCGACGAGCTCCGAGTGCGAGGAGGGAGCCCTTCGCCGATGCTGCAACGAGCTCTGAGTGTGACGGCTATGCCGAGAGGTAGCGGCGACGAGTCCTTCGTTGCCATTGCAGCAACGGCGAAAGGCTCCCTCCTCTCTTTCTCTCTTCCTCCCCTTCGTTGTCGTTTCAGCAGTGGTAAAGGAGGGGCTATCGAACTGCAATGAGCCCTTCGTCTCCATCGAGCTGTAACGTTCCCTGACGTTGCTGTTGACTTTCTGGATGCTACTTGCTGCTTGTTCCGAAAGCTACTCTTGCTGCTTGTTCCCTGCAACGTTGCTTTTTGCTCCATCGTCTCCATCGAGCGGCAACAAGCCCTTCGTCTCCATCGAACTGTAACGTTTCATGCTGACTTTCCGAAAGCTACTCTTGCTGGTTGTTTTTTGAAAGGGAGGAAACAAGGAGGGGCTATCTGGGTAGCGAGATCTGATCATAAATTTTCTCCGTTCCTCTACCTTTTCCTTTGTTAAAGTTCCATTTCTTCAGAGTTATTCAAATCTAATGAATACGGTATTGCGTCCCGTAAGTGTCGCCACAGCCACATTGCTGTTGCCGTTGTCGTTGGCAATAGTTCCGACCTTGCTCCGTTGAAAAGGAAAAAAAGGGCAAATTTAACATTTTATTTCCTTCGTTGGCGACAATTGCAAGAAAACTGAAAGTACCGAAAGACAATAGCTAAATAATAGGATACCGCGTGTCATTACGTTAAGGATAGTTTAAGAGATTTTACCTTAAATTATAATAGTTATGTTAAAACATTCTTTTTGCCCTTCCGTTTAGTATTGTCAGCATCCGTTCGTGTGAAGAAAGAGAACCCATCATCTAACGGTCACCGCTGCAACGTCTCGCCGACGGTTAGAAAGAACCTTTCATGTATTGGGTCCGAGAGGTGGAAGGAGTGGCGATGACAGTCCGAGAAGAGATTTTGGGTCTACCAGATCAAATCTGCAGCAGCGGCTACGATGAGAACACTAGGGCGATGAGAGCGGTGATGAAAATAGTTATCTGGAACAAATTTTCCCTCTGTAAATGGATAGTGCCCTAGTTGTTTTTCAATCTTCATTTTCTCTCATTTTTCTACCTTTATCTCTCATTCGATCTCTCTCTATTTCTTCCGTCACCCCTGTTTTTTGTTTCCCTCGTCGCCCACATCCTGGCGATTCAGGTATGGTTAAATAACCAACAAATTATCGAGTTTTTAATATTTGTTGATTTTAATTTGTGGGTTTTCAAATTTTTGGTAGAAGTTCTTGATCGAGAGGGCAAATCATCTCATCTCTCGCTTGTTAAAGATTTTGATTATATATTTGTTGTTTATGAAGGTTTCTGCAACCTGAAACGTTAAACTTCATCTTCTTCTCTCTCTTTTCCGCAATGTGCCTCACTGATGCCATCTATATTGACTCGGCTGGAGGAAGCATTCAACACTCCGGTGTTGGAGGCATACACCATGATGGAGGTGTCACTTCGGATGGCGACGAATCCATTGCCTGAGGTTGCAGGTGTGTGGAGTCCGGGTACGAGACTCAGGTGTATGATCGACTCAAGTGAGCGATCATACTGTTGGTGGAGATGGTGGTCGCGCGGTTTGAGCTATCCTTCTCAGTTCTAACGATGCGCCTGTCTACTCGAACCGTGGTCCTATTATCGGTGGACTTGCCTTTAACCTGAATCTTCTTACGCCGCACCTGCGTTTCAGATTGAAACAGGGGATGTGAACAGTAAAACCACCTCCTGTGGCTTTCATCTTCCAATACAAGTCACGTCGCCCAATCGAACCACTTCAGCTCCGTGAAGGGCTTGCCTCCATATGCGGAGGCCATCATGCCACAATCATCAAGCTTCCAGGAATCTCCATCTCCGGGTGGTAGTTTGCTTTGTATTATTAGCTTCACTTCTTTGTTCTCCTCCGCCTTGTGCAGACTTTGAAATCTTCAGGCATTTATAGAGAGTTAGTTTGGTCTTCTCTTAGCTCTTCATGGTAGAATTTGGGGTGTGGTCATCACGCCAGAATCGAAACCATCGTTAAAATATAAAATATCAAACAAGCGGATCATGAAAATTGAAGAGACGAGAGGTTACATGGCGCCGGAAGGGATGAGTATTGGATTTTAAAATTTATAACAAATCATGGAAAAAAGTGGTTTAAAATAATAGTTAAATATTAAGAGTAAAGTTTGTTAATTAGTTAAACAGTAGAGATAATTTAAAAAATTTGTCTCTAATCTGACCAGACGTTCTGCGTTCTGCCCTTTCTTTTTTGTTCCTCCCCATCCATGATTTGTTATAAATTTTAAAATCAGCCGGCGACAATAGTTAAAATGAGTCAAATGACTGAAGAATGCTTTGCTAAGTATCAATATATGGACAATGGTTAAGTAAAAAACTATTCTTTTCCAGTTTTCCATATAACATATTTACTCTAGCTGTTTAAACTTGTAAACAAATGCACAGCCACAACAATCGCATTCCTTAGCCATTCCATTGCATGTGGGCCGCGGATGTGAACTCAAAATAAAATCTCCAATAATTAAGAATCTTTAATAATAATAGTAATCACAATATGCACACTTTGGAATTTGGAAACAAAATCATCCAAAATGGAAAATTAGCTTCACATCACTCAAATTTCAAAAATCTTCTGGGCCCACTCCAATGAAGAATATTTCTTAATCTCTAGCCATTGCTCTACATATATATATATATATATATATATATATATAGATCATCATCACTCATCCTTATCTTCCGTTAATCAGGACCCTTAATGATCCTAAATCATCTGTTCAATCTTTTACGCTGTACAGCACACCAGTCAGAACTCAATCCAAGAAGCTCCTTCACTTGCATCACTGTTCTCCTTTTATCTTCTTGTCTCCGTTGCTTCTCACTCTTTTGGTCTCTCCTTTTTTCTGATCCCTCCCATTCCATGCATCCGTCATCCCACTTATATACAAGAAGCTTCCGCCATGAACGATCATGCATCAATCTTTACAATGCCGACTGATTAATTAGCTGTCCGGAAATAATGGCTCATGGCGGAACAAATCGTAGGGCACCCACAAGCTATCCAACGGGCACGGCCGTCTTGAGTCCAGTCTCAGCCATGGCTTCCCCTTCCCACTCCAGTGTAGTAGACTCACCGGTCCGGGGTGCAGATCCCTGCACAAACCTTCCAGATTATCCCCACCAAGACCATGCTGGTTCCACCTGTGCTCCACCCCTCTCACATCTCCGGCAAAGACCAGCAAAAATGGAGGCAAGGAGCCCAACTCGTATATTCGCTGCCGCTTCTGAATCCTCATCCATGATTCTAGCTTCTCTGTGTATTTCCCTTCCCTCCATCTGCGGATATTGATGATCATCACGCCAGTATTGAAATAACACGGCTCTCGGCCACGAAACGTTTGGGAGAAAAATGGGTCGAACCAGAACTTATCGTTGAAGTAACTGGTGAAGTTGGCGTGGCAGTACTCGGGTGCGCCCAGAACGTGGGTGCCCAGTTCGATTGCCCAGAGCTTAGCCACGTCGTCGACCACAATGAGATCAGAATCGAAGTAGATAATCCGACGGATGCCGGAGGGGAGGAGATCAGCCAAGTAGATTCTCGCGTAGTTGAGGGGTTGATCCAGTGCTCGACGGATGGAGGATGAAATCTTGCCTTTGACGAGATTGGTGTCGAAGTGGTAGACCTGGAAGTTGAGGTACGGGAAGGTGGTAAGAATGGTACGTCGCAGCTCTGCTCGGCGGTGAGAGGCAAGGAAGTGGAAGACTATGTTTTCAGGACAGGAGGCGTGCTTGAGGACGGAAAGGACGCCGGCAACAGATCCACGGAGGTAGGTGGTGTCGAGAGTCATGGCTATGTGGATAATGGATGATGGGTTTGCTTTGGGACACTCGATGCCGTTTCTAAAGGCTGGAGCTTCTCTGAACTTGGGGAGGCCTCCGGTGGTGGTCAACGGCAGGGGCTTGGTGGCGGCGGTGGCGGATACTAGAAGGAAAGGCAGGACAACGAGAAAAAACCGAAGTTTCGGCGACATCGTGGGTGGTGGTGCGGTGGTGTAATCCAGCAAGAGAGAGAAGGAAAAAAATTGTGACAAGCCAGGCTGGAAACACGAGTCTTCTGTCTGCGAAAGAGGAGTTTTATGGTACCGAACACCCCACCTCCTGCCGTACATAATACCGATTTTTACGATTCAAGAATAGACGGTTGAGATTGATGGTTATGATTGTTTTTGAAACGTGTCGAATGGTGATCGAGTGGCAGAGTATCGTGGGCCTCCTGTTTGACAGTGTCAGAGCGGTAGCGTATAGGCTCCACATGCACATCTCAGCGTGCATTGAGAGTATCTACCGAAATTCTCAGTGGGAGATGTTCCTAATACACGGTTGAATATACTGTAAGGCGTTTGTGGGGCGCAATGTGAGACAACGGAAGAGTTGTTATGTGGAAGAGACGGATTTGATGTTTTCACTGCGGTTGCTTAGCTGGAGAGCTCATGTACGGAGCTTTCTCAATACTTGCATTTCAGCATTCGTATGGATAAACAATCAAGGATCTAGATGTAGCGTCTACCGACCCGCACCCCGGTTAGGTTTGGTCATGTAATTAGACCCGCGGGTCTGATCTCGGGCCTAATAGTAAGTCCGATTGTGTTTTGGATTGGACTCGTGATTTGTTAAAAAAGTCCGGCCCGAATTCGGTTCGGTTTGATTCAGCATTATATATTTTATAAAATACATAATGTATATTTTATATATTTATATAAAATATATAAATAACATAATATTTATTGAAATATATATGTATTTTTATTTTTTTCTTTATAATTTATCTCTCTCTATTCGGCCGCTTCAGTAGTAGTAATAGCATAGGCTAAATTTTGGATTCGGGCCTAAACTTGGACTTCAGACTTTTTACGAGGGCCAGATTCGGGCCCAAGTTATAGGTCCGATGGTCAGACCGGACTCGGGCTCGAGCCTTAGAAAAATCTATTAATACAGAGTGAAAGATCGGCCTGAACCCGACCCATGAACAGGTCTACTCATAGATAGTTTGCTTTGGCTTTTGGCTTTTGGCTTTTGTGTCATGTGACACCTTTTCATGGACTATGGGGACCCACACACCCACACCCACACCCATTTTTAATGGTTATTGGATGGTAATCCTAGTCACTGTTGCTGTCATTTTGATTCTTTGAATCCACTGCTGACTGCTATGTCACGGATCACATTTCCAAAAGTTGCACTCTCTTGCCGACAGGGGTGGGAACTGGGAAGATGCTTGATAGACCCGACCCAGTAACCAGCTGTTTTATGGATTTTTAGTCTTAAACCAGAGTCTTTTGATTTTTAGGATTCATAGATAAATAATAAAATAAGATTTCTATCCATAAAAAAGTAATTATTAAAATAAATAAATAAATAAATAATAAAAGTAATTATTAAAATGGGTGAAATAGTCCATCAAATTTGTAAAAATTTTTTCTAATCGGAAAAGTTACTTACTCAATTGGGATATGAGTAAGTTTTACCCAGCTGTTCACCTAAAGAAAGGTGAATAAGTTACTTACTTAATTGGGAGATGAATAAGTTACTTATTCAATTGGGAAATAAATAATAAAAAAGTTATTCAATTTTTCTAACCTAAAGAGAGGTGGCAGGTTCACAGCTGCTCACCAGACCACTACTCCACTCGAGCTAGTTTGCAGTTCTAGGCCTAGTATCTCTGTTTATGTGTTAAGTATAGTGTCTCTTACCGGATTTGGGAGTACCAAATATGAGTTCCCTCTACCTCTACAAACACTATATATTTATCCTCTGTTGATTCATCCTGGTTGTATTGTCATTTGTCAAGTATAGGAACGCAACTTGGATTGAGAATTTTTTAGATTTTGAATGGGCTCGAAGCCAAGCCCAAGCCCAAGCCCAAGCCCAAGCCCAAGCCCATTGTGGTTAACTATTCGATTCAATCAAGCAACCTAATTTGTACTACTCTATTTGTACAGTTTTTAATTAAAGTCGACCCTTCATTTGTTTGCATGGAAGCATTTTGTTGCAGCTCCGAGAGCCATTTGAAAAACCTTAACTCATCCTGAACTAAACAATGAATTAGTAACACAAAAGTGTGCATATAATATAAATATTTGTGTATTTCAATTAAGGTTCAAAATGTCGTAATGTATCAATGTCTAATGTATACATCAATTTTCTGAGTCACCAAAATGCTAAATACGAAGAGTTAGGAATTCAAAACCTAAAATGCCCAAACATTTTAAGAGTTGTATTATTCAAGATTTAAAATATTGGAAACATCAAGTGTATCAAAAATGTAATTTTGAGATATATGTCTTGGATACGTATGTATATTAGGAAAAAATTAAAATATGCATGAAAATACTATAAATACTTTAATAAACAATAAAAATACATCAACGACACTAAATATAATGCCCCAACGAGGTATAAATACATTAAATAAATATTTTTAATAGATTTTATAAAGAAATACATCGTAATAAATTATAATTTTCATTAAAAATCATATGTTTAACTATAATTTATAAATTATAATTCTTAAGTTTTATGGGATGGGAAAAGCCCAACTATCCTATCAACCATAAAACATGCATTGGAACAACTTATAAGTGGAAATATAATTAATAATTAATTTTTTAAATAATTACTAATTATTTTTAATTCAAAAAATTACAAAAAAGTCAAAAATAAATAAAAATTATACAATATATTCAAAAAAATAATTATTGAAAAATAAATTTCAATTGCTCTATGGATATGATATATTATTCATAGATCTAAAACATATTAAGTCTTTATAGGCAAATAAAAATGCATTTTTAAAATTTTTGTTATTTTATATATTTCTTAATTTTTTTTACAAAATTTTCATATATCTACTCATAACACACACACACAATGATTTTCAACACAAGAAATGTAGATCAACATAGATTTAAACATTTTCAAGCATTCAAGTAAAAACAAAAAACAAGAATTTACCATATATTGTGAGAAAATTTGGGAAAAAAAAACTTAACTAGATTTACAATATTTTCCAAAACTCAAAAATTCTTCAAAAACCTTAAGTCCTTAATAATTTACACTTATTTATTCTGTGTGTGTGTGTGTGTGTGTGCGTGTGCGTTTGTAGATCTAGCATTTTAGTAATGAAATTTGGAGCTTCCGAGTTGTTTGGGTGGGGGGTAGGGGGTGAAAGAAGGCTTATTTTGGAGGAAAATATGCTTTTTTCCCCTTTATTATTTTTACATTTTATGTTTGTATCTTTTTCAGTGTATCAACCGGTATGCTTTCGGTACTCGACACATGGCTGATACGGGCGGATACAAATATGATACAATGGATAAAAGAAATACAATAACACCTATTTCCCATCGTATCTTGTATCGAACCTTTAAAGATATGATATGCCTCATATCAGACATATCATGGTGCAATTTTAAATTTTGATGCAACATGGATTTCAAATATTTGTGAGGGGTCTGATGAGGAGTTTAAAACCTAAAATAAACCAGAGAACAACTAAATTAAGTATAAAAGATAAAGAAGATTGTACCAAGACTCAAATTTTGGACATGATACATTTCATATAAGATGCATCATATTGTATTGGCATGCCATTGAAACATCAAATAATGGGTGTTTTCAGATTTTGATCTGTTTCAAGGGGTAGCCGGGTAGGCAAGCCTAAAACCGATCCTTTGAAGCAATTTTGAACAAAAAAACTAAAATAAAAAAGATTATTTGATATTAAAACACTTACATACGCATGTTCCTACATATGGATTGTTCCCAAAAAAAAAATAGAGAAAAAGTCGAGATAAGGAGAATAAATTCCCATCCATATTCAGGATGTTTTTGCTTTTGTCAATCCAAGCACGTCCAAAATCTATAAGAATGTTTGGAAAAACCGACAAAGATGTCAAAATCCACCAGCTGTATGATTATGAGAGGTGTCATGTCTCCATGACGTATGGATTAGAAAATTCATGGGTTTTCGATTTACATTCTTTATAGGAATTCCAACCCCATCCATAAAAGTGCTTTTTCTTTTTCTTTTTCTTTTTGCAATTCCTATAGATAGGAATTGCGTAATGAATCAACTCCTCAACGACCGTAGGTTGGCTATATCATGTAATGTCATAAATAGAAGAATAACCGATACAATGAAATAGAAATATAATAATTAAAACAAAATAAAGAAATTTGATTACGTTCAAAAATAAAAAAGCTCAATTATTTTAGCGTACCTACTAAATAAAATATTTTTAAATTATATAATGGTTTAATTTACAGTATTGTAATGCTTAAAATACATAATAATGAAGAAAAAAATAGACGAGTAACCTTTCTTTTTTAATAAGAAAATATAAGTGATGATTGTATAATATATTGAAAATCATTATTAATAAAAACAATGTATCTATGTCTATATAAAGTATATAATAAGAATGTAGCAGTTTTTACCATTTGATTTTTATTGGTGGTAGTATAACTTAAAATTAATTTTTTTTATAAAAACATATTTACTGAAATATGAAGCTCAATTGTTCATTTAGAAGGTTCTGATTCATAGATTTTGCCAATTGATATGCATTTGAATTTCCCTAGGAACTCCAATTTACATAGTCCAAAATCATCTCAACATGAGAGAATTAGAGTTTTTTCTAGGGGTGCAAGTTGGGCGGGTTGGGCCAGGTTTATGGTCAGCCCAAACCCAACCCTAAAATTTAGGCTTAAGGCCCAAGTTCAAGGTCAAGCCTGATTTTCCTTATCCGAAACCAGCTCCCATTTTAATTTGATGCACTCGGGTTGGTTAATAAATCTACTCTAAAATGATATATGTACATATATATTTATGCAAATATGTAAATATATCTATGTATATATGTAAATATTTATACAAAAATATATACATGCATATATATATATATATATGTATGTATAGTTGGGCCAGGTTTGGGCTACCTAAGGGTTAGGCCCAAGCCCATGTAAAATTTTAGACTGGATTGATTTGGGCTTGGGTTGGACCCGCCCAAATTGCACCCCTATTTTTTCCAATTTTTGAAAAAGAAAATTCTTTCATAAAAAAAAAGCCAGATATAGGGCACATAACAATATGCGGCTGAATGCCTTTGCTTTCGAAGTGTGTGTACAGAGATTTTGCTTGCAGGATATCCGTTAAGGCACCTAGGTGTTTAAAACTCTATATATAATATCAACTAAAAGCCTCAGATGTTCTTCACTTTCAAGTAATAAATTTTCAACTACGCATCGCATTAATTGAGAGAAGCCCAGTTGAAGGGTCACCTTTAGGAAGTTGGAGAAGCATCAAAGCCCAGAGGACCACACCTCTATGGACGACTGCTAACATAATTAGAGATTGTTGGGAAATAACTCAAGAAATGGATCAAATTCAGACATATGTGTGTGTATATATGTTTGTATGTACATTATGGGTTGGGTCAAAAATATTGGGCCTGATCCAGAAATCTGCTCTTTTGTGCATCATAAATTTCATTTGTACTGGTGTAAATGCATGGGAGTATGAAAGAGGTCGAGTGTAGATTCTGGTTTATTTTTGTTATAAATTTGGCTTTGCCTGATTTATTTGTGAGAAGTAACTGAAGAGACCTACTGTTTAAATTAAAGAAAATGGAACTTTGAGAGTTATCTATAGAATTAATGTAAGAGCAAATGGATGTAGCCTTTGCTGATCAGTTTTTTTGCATGCAAAATTTACACTGCTAGTGAGTATAAAACTGAACCGAGTACAAAATTTGCACCCAATCAAGATTTGCATAACAAACAAATGCAGCCAAAAGAAGGAAACACACACACAAAAAAAAAAAAAAGAATTAGGAGCAATTCGTGCAAATGATGTAGGGTAAAAGTGCCTCACAACTCCAGTCAATACAAAAGAGATCCCTCTTTTGTTGGGCAACTTGTAACAATTTGGTTTGCACGTTGCACGCAGGTAAATGTGATGGACCAGAATGGGTCCATATGTTTCGGCAAGACACATGTTCTTCCATGGACCATGTGGCGAAATTCAATAGTCAATCCATTGTTCTCAGCTTATTTTCTTGCATTCCTCCTTATTTCAAAGTACAATTCATGGGCCCTATGCTGGATTTTTAATTTGAATTGATTTTATTTTTATTGAAGGACATGTCACAACTCACATGTGCCAATTTTCTTACATGAATCAGAAAATAAAAAAAAAACTTGAGAGCCAGAATAAGGCCCATCTCTCTTCTCTCTCTATCTATCTATCTATATTGACTCAGAATTTTATTTATTCCTTTCTTTTCTAAGAGGGAGACTAGCCATGTATGTATAGCCCATAGCCGTGTGTTTTAAGGAAACTATTCTCTTGATATATTTCATAATTTATCTCATTTTTGCTTTAAAAGTAGTGAGAAATGATTAAAGCACATAGCCACATGACAAAATAAAATTAATTGGGATGGGAAAAGGATTAGATGAGGACCGTAATGATTCATGCCCCAAACACCGCTCCAACCCGGTCTATTTATCGACTAAGAAGGAAAATTCAACAATCACCCTTTCTGCAAAGTCTTCAACACAAAACTCGCTGGAATTAAGAACTTGTAAAGCCCGTCAAGGAGGTGGCTACAAGTCCACACTCTACAAACATAATGCCTATTAATATACAAACCTTCAGATTTAATTATCTTACCTATTAATACTCCACCGACTAACTAGCTATAAGCAAGCAATTCTCTCTCTCTCTATATATATATATTACTGAAAACTTGCATAAAACACAATCACATTGTATACGAAAAGGGTATTTACAGCTAAGCTTCAACTTTCAGCTATTGAGAATTAGCTTCATATGGTGGTTTGCTTCTTGGATCCCGATAAGTTAGACAGCAATGAGCTGGGTATTAGTTCTTGGGTTATTAATTAATACTGTGGGCTGTTCCATTAGTTCTTTGGTTCTCGGCCCATATTGACCATATGTTGTGGGCCCCCTTTTTAATCGCTAATAACTTTTTCACCAAATAAGAAAAAGAATTTAGAATCCCCTTTTCAAGGCTTGTGTTGATCTGAATGGACATAATTCCTCCATGCTCTTTGTAATTGTTTTTTTTTCAATAAAATCTTCCTATACAGTATACATATACACATATTGGAAAGACATTTCATATTTGCTTTATGTTGTGAGATTTTTCTTATGAAGGCAATAACTGTATTAGGATCTTGTTTGACAGTTAGCCTTAATATCTCCAGTTATGGTCTAGCTCTATGCTCGATGGCCTTGTGTGGTCCATGACATTAATATCCATCGGTTGTTTGATTTTCAGAGTCTTTGATTTTTATGATGATTTGTCGTGTTAGAACATTTCTGCATATTCTAATTATCATTCCCATTCCATAGACCATTTTGATTTCGATTGTAAATCAAACGGATTCTAAATTAAACGATTAGTGGGTTCTATATGTAATATGTTAAAAATTTGGTTTTAATTTTGTATTTTTATTTTTGATTGTGTTTTAAAATTTCAAAAAAATAAATAATAAATAATATGAATATGATTATAAAATATTAAAACATTAATAAATAATCTAAAAAATATAAAAAGAATGACAAAATTCGAAAATCGGGAAACTTGACCAAGGGTAACAATGCACTGAAACACCCCCCACCCAATCTCGCTCATCTGATCATCTCATCTCTTTACTCTCACCGTCTACAGAGAAAAGTAGTTGGTAGTTGGGACCCACACTCCATCCGGCCCCACTTTCCGTCCTCCCCCAGGCATGTACCACCAATACCAACTCACCGACTCATGAATCCAACAACTTCTCCCGCAAATCTCGCCTCACTTCCTATGCTCCTGAGTCCCTTGACTGACTTCCTCCCTTTCTCCCAATTTTTTCTGTTTTTAGTCCACCACCAGCACCAGAGGAAGACAATAGACGACACCCTCTCAATTCATGTCCAAACAAACACCAAACTCCAAAGCTAACAAGCGCCATGTCCCTCTTCTTCTTACTCTCTCTCCCTCTCCTCCTCTCCTCTCCTCCTCCTCTTAACCCCTACCCCTACGGTAAGCTCCCCCTCACTAACCAACTAACTCTTTAACTGTCTTAACTGTCTCTCTAACCCCAACTCTCCTCTTCCTCTGTCTCGCAGACACCTCGTATCGAATAGATTGCGGTGGCCAGACCAACTTCACCAACAACTTCAACGACTCATGGCTCTCCGACCGCTTCTTCACCGGCGGCTCTCCCTCCCTCGTCGCCGAACCTCACCTCTTCCTCCAGCAGCAAGAGAAGACCATTCGTTTCTTCCCCATCTCCTTCGGCAAGAAGAACTGTTACATCCTCAACGTCCCCAACGGCCGCTACCACTTCCGCATGTTCTTCGTCTACGATAATTACGACGGCAAGCTGCATTCCCCCAGCTTCGACGTCTCCGTCGAAGGCACCCTCGTGTTCAGCTGGCGCTCTCCATGGAAAGAGGATTTTAGCCGCACCGGAGCTTATTCTGATCTATTTGCCTTCGTTAAGGACGGAGAGGCCGATATCTGCTTTTACAGCATTGCCACTGATCCTCCCGTCATCGGATCGCTTGAGATTATTCAGGTCGATCCGTTGTCCTACGATTCTTCCACCACCGGCGATCATCTTATACTGATCAATTACGGGCGGTTGACTTGTGGTTCTGGTTCGCTGGGTTCGGGGCTAACCAATGACACGGATTTGTTCGGGCGTGGTTGGCAAACCGATGTGGATTTCCTCAAGGGGAATGGGGTTTCAATTAAGGCTATTGCGACCAGGAACAATATACGTGCGACGAACCAGGAACATAATTACTTTCCAATGCATTTGTATCAGACGGCGGTTACGGTTGTGGGTGATGGAGCATTGGAGTACGAGTTACCGGTGGACGCGAAAATGGATTACTTGGTTTGGTTCCATTTTGCAGAAATTGATTCGAGTATCACTGCGGCTGGGCAGCGTGTGATTGATGTGCATATCAATGGAAGGAATGTGAGTAGGATTGATATCTTTAAGCAGGTTGGTAGTTTCACGGCTTTCAATTGGCATTATGTTGTGAAGAACTTGAACAGCACAACTTTGAGTGTGAAGCTTGTTCCGGTAGCTGGTAGTCCGTTGATTAGTGGTCTTGAGAATTATGCCCTGGTTCCAAGGGATCTGGCTACTGTTACTGAGCAAGGTATGAGCATAATCTCTGTGAATCTTGAAAGTTCATTCAATCTGATCATATGCTATTTTTTGTTTAGAACTTGGGAAAAGTCAGAATTATTAGCATGGTCGCTGTACTTGGTTTTGATTAATGGATTTGTCTGTATAGTGACTGCTATGCGGGCATTGAAAGAATCGCTAAGAGTTCCTGATAGAATGGGTTGGAATGGGGATCCATGTGCTCCTCCTACTTGGGATGCTTGGGAAGGTGTTACTTGCCACCCAAACAAGGATAAGTCTGCCCTGGTGGTATCTCAAATGTAAGAACTTCCCCTTGTTTATTTTTCCCTCACAGAATCTGCCTCCCAGGTGGCATCTTAATTTAGCAAGTACATCCTGTTAGTAAGTCACTTTAAATGTAAGGTAACATGAACGTTGTAAAAATTTTAGAATTGCAGTTGCAGGAACTTATTTTAATACAGGAAGATAACTAGGAAAGGCACTTCAACCTGTGTCTTGGAGAAGAGTATTTTTGTAAACTAAACTGCAATATCCAATGCGTGGTGTGACTAGGAAAATAAGACCTGTATTAGTTTGAATAACATGCCCTAAACTGTAACAGTTTCACATTCTACTAATATAATGCTATTATTTTATTTCTTTGATAAGCATGATTGTGCTACCATTATCAATTGGAACTGGGGAAAATCCTGTATACACCTATAGAATGGTCACCAATTGATTAAAAGATTTTATTAATGGAGAACTTTCTTAAATTGTAAGTAATTAGGTTCCTCATGTATTTTTAGCTTAAACTATATGCCTTAATCATTATTTAAGTACACAAGTACTCATTGGTTAAGCTTGTTAGGCAGCTTTTTACACTTATGCTCCTTATAATAGTTCTTTTTTCTTTTCTTTTCTTTCTTTCTTTCTTTCTTTTTTTTTTTTCTTTCTTTTATGAACCAACCTCAACAGAGATCTTGGGAGTCAAGGCCTGAAAGGATACATAAGTGAGCAGATTGGCCTTTTGTCAAACTTGGTAAGCCTGTAAGTATCTATGTATTTGATATCTTATCATCCCTTATGTTCTATAGAAAGTATCAATGAATTTTAAATTTGGTAAGATACATCGACAATATCAATGTACTTGATATATTGCAAATCAAAGTTCATATAATGATGAAAACATCATATCTATGTTTCTCTAAAGCAAAATCCCATTTGGATGGATTCATTGCTAAAAGCTTTCATTTACTAGCATAGAGAAATTTCTACCTTCATTCTTAATTCCTGATCCCCTAGGGTTCCACAATCAGGGGTGGAGCTAGGGGGTGGCAGAGGGGAGCCATGCCCCCCTCCCAATGCCTTAAAAATTCCCACTATCCCCATGTAAATCCTACTTATGTTTTAACCTCCTATCCATGTTTATAAGGTTTTTCCCCTCCCTCGAATCCTTGTTTACTAGCTTTTGTGCCCCCTCCCCCCCAAGCTCCGCCGCATCATCCCTCATCTAGAGACATTTCTATAGGTTTATAGAAACCTGAGGTCTTCAAAATTTATCTCTAGAGAAACAGCCAATTTGGATGTAGTTATGGGTTAGGAAAATGGTCTGAAGTTTGTTTAGGTAGGAAGAATGGGCTTTTGGTTGTTTGAATGGAAAATATATGAGAAAACCTGTTTATCTAATACTGATACATTCCTTTATTGCACCAATAGGAATTTGCTGTGGTGAAGGCTTTTTTACATTGTCATTTGGGAATTAATCATTTTTAAGATCATCAAATTCTCATTTTTAGCTATGACACTCTTGACCTTGGAACTCTCAGATTATTTTTCAACAATGGAAAAAAAAATGATACCTTCATGCACTTGCTTTCTTCAGATTTTCCCCTTTAGAGTTCCTATTAGAATCTACAAATGTTGACATCTATCATTCTAATTCTTTATCGAGAATTGCATGGTCGGTTTTGGTGGTGCATCCCGAGTTTGAAGATGTGGAGAGGGCATCATTTACTTCTAATTTCTGAAATTTTTGTCATGTTGCCATTGGTTTAGGTTAAGTGTTTGATATTATAGACTGTATTGTTGTAAATAATTGTTTCATATTTTATTTTATTTTTAAACATGACTGCATGGACAAGTCATCCATTTAGGAGAGTCCACACAGACTGTGTGCCATGTCTGAATATTTTATTTCTGCGCTAGATCTTGTCACCAAAGTCTGTTTCTTACTCTTCCATGTAACAAGATTGCAACTAACATAAGTGCAATACTTTGAAATCAACCTCTTAAGTCATTGAACTAATCCAATTGGCATCTATATAGGTTTTAACCTTTGTGTATCCATTCTTCACCCATCCAGGGCTTAGGATGTCTTGATGCTTGTACATATTTCATTCTTTTATCAATTAATAAAGGTTGTTACTAATCAAAAAGAAAAAAATGTAACAGTACTTCAGAACCAGTGGCCTTTTTCATGGTGAACTGTTCAAATAACTCAAAATTCAATTTACAATATAAGATGAGTAGATCATGAATGAGTGCATGAACTCAATGAAAACAGCAACCACATGTGTAGTTCGGGTTGTCCAAATCTGGGATGCAAATTTACAATGCATAAAGATCAGCTATCACAAAAAGTGCAATTGGGGTTGTCAGTTATCTATAACCATCCCATCCTTCTCCTTAGCAGGTTGTGAGAAGTAAAGCATTTATTCAGCACTTCTCAAATCTAGACTGCAAATTTACAGTGAATAAAGAAAAGCTATCACAAAAAGTGCAGTTGGGGTTGTCCACAGCCATCCCTCTCCTTAGCAGGTGTCAGAAGTAAGGCATTTATTCTGCATTGCTACCTACATCAAAAAGGAAATCTTAGAGGACACTGCATTGCTACCCACACCAAACCCTTCTATCTTCCTGGTATCAAACAAAGGACTTTCCCCAACCTTGTTTCTCCTTCACCTGGAAAACAGTACATTATTCCCTTTTCTATAGAATAGTGCCTCATAAGTCCATTTGACTTGTTGAATTCCCCACAGCCACTAATCTCATTGTCACTTCACTTTGTTTTTTATTTTGTGATTTTTGTAGCTTTGATTTTTCAGTTTAAAATTAACATCTCTTTGTGTTTTTCTTGGTAATTGATATTAAAGAATTGTTACACATTAACTGTTTGTTAAGATACTCTGCTACTTCTTCATGCTCTAGTTTTGATTTTTGTTCTCATATCATGGAGTTTTCCAGTTGATTTTATTTGCATTGTTTCTCCACAGGAACTTAAGTTATAATTCTTTGCATGGTACCATACCCTCAGGACTTGGTCAAAAATATCTTACACGTCTGTAAGTATAACATGCTTCTAGTACTATAATATCTTTAAATTGGGCTTGTAGATTTGAAATTAACCTGAGCAACATGATGCAAAATACCTGATTTTCATTTAGGTTTCTGTGTTTTTAGGAGTTAAATGACTACGATAATATTCATGGCCTTCAATTATGTTTGGTAATGGGTGAAGTGACATTAACAGAACTATATGCTTTTCCTCCTTTTGTCCTGCAACCATAGAAAAGAAGGATGTTTGTGCTTGTTTAGCTTAATACTTTCATTTCTCCTATGAGCTTCATATTATCCATTTTGCCCAACTTCAACATAGATCATTACTCAATGTTGGTCCCAACTATCTGGGGTCTTGGGAGTGGTAGACCAAATATAGACCTAACCTTTGCCATTTTCCTTTTATGCAGTGACCGATCTAGATTCGACCAACATGCTCATGCTTGACACCTTGAGATTTTAGCATTACATCAAGCGATTCCCCCTTGTCAATTTCAATATATGTACTGCAATTTGAACTGTGAGACCTGGTTGAAATAGAACCACATCTTGTAGGGGTGTCATAGGGTTCAGTAGAGGTTGGGCTTACAAGAACCTTAACGAACCTAACTATATCCCAACTGGAACCTCACCCACTCCATGAACAGAGCAGGCAAGGGCATTAAGCATGGCAAGGAGGGTCAAGACTAGAGATTGGAAAACGTTAAGAAATAAAATAACAAGTTAAAAAGCAATAGGAAATGACATAAAGTGCTTAAAATCTATGACATGGCATGAGGTGTGGCATAGCCTGAACCCATCATGAATTGATATTTCACAACCAAAGCCTGGTCCTAACCTGGTTAGGGTATACTGAGCCCATCTGATCATGGGTTGATGGGTGGACGAATATGAAGATACATCTTTCTTGGGAAATCTTTGGTTTTACCAATTTGGTCTCTGGACCAATGCTTCTATTTTTGCTTCTTACCAACCTGAACTTTTATGATCTAGAAGTGGGTAACTTGGCCTTTAACTGATAAAATTGATCTTTATCACATGGACAAAACTCATCTCAAGTGATCAAACATCTGGAAGCCCATCTGCCCTGCCTGCTGCTTTTGGACTTCCTTTTTCGTTTCTTTCACTCTTTTGAGAACCCAAAGCATTTTTTTACAATATTCTTTTACTAGATTCAGAAATTCCACCATTATCTCTATGATTCCATTCCTCATCTAGTTATTCCCTTCCAGGTATAGAATTTTCATTTGGGATCTGGAGCTTTGTTGTAGCTAATGAAATTATTTTGTAGTGCAAAATGATCTTTCATATTATCATATAACTAAGACAAATTCTTTTTCTTTGAATTGGACTTTATAAGTTACCTCTAGAATTTGATCTCTATCTTGCTCTGACATTTTTCCTATTTGTTTGAAAGAATTCTATTACTTCCTCTAGTTTACCTATATGAAAAGGTTACTCAATTGGGCATATTGGGAACATGGTTCTTTTTGTTCACCTGGCATTCCAGGCGTTCTCTTAGTGGTTCCACAAAGTACAAAGTGACCCTGATCTTGGTTCTTGATCCTTCATTATTGACTATTAATGTCTTATATGGTATCTGTAGGGATTTGTCGAACAATTTTTTATCTGGATCAATACCAGATAGTCTTATATCTTCAAGTCTGCAACTCGTGTAAGTGGATTACTTATTTATAAATCCTTAGTTTAATACTTAAATTCTATTATCTAATAGTAGATTTAAACAAATGGTTAATTTATTTTATATCCAACTGCATCTACTGTCATTCAGTTTCCAAGTAAGATTGATAATGATAGATGTTTTGTCTTATATTTACCTTTATTATTTTTACATATGACATCTTATTTCAATTGATAGGGTTAGGTGATACTGCATAATTTTGGTTTTATCCAATTCTATTTTAGTTTTATATTTCTTGTGGTTCTTTAATATTAGCAGCAACTTTAACAGCTTTAATGATCATACTTTCTGTATAGTAATTAAAAATCCTTGATAAACTTGAGCGAAGTGGATGTATGCTAGCTTGTCAGTTTTAGATAATGCCATCTTTTGCTGACTTGCAAATTGGATACTAGTAATTTCCACATTTGACTTCATTATATTTCTATACAGCAATTTTTCTTTGATATTTATTAAATACTAATGTGGTAAATTTCAACTATAGTCCTCTATATCTCACAATCATTAGGTATGCTTCGACTCTAAACATTCATATTGCTCTATCTCTAAGTATAGAGCATGTGAGGAATAGAAGTACATGGAAATAGATCTCTCCCCCCTAAAAGAGACTGTTTACCTCCCTTTGCAACTGCTTGTCTGTATCTTGGACCTGGGAGTGGGTCTCAAACACCCTATCCCCCCCTTTTTTTTAACTGTTGCCAAGAGCGTATAACTCTTCTTGATGTTTCCATACAACTCACTAATCATGACATGGCTACCAGATTTTTTAACCCCACGTGGAGTATTCAGGATTGTCTGATTCTTGCTGCTTCTTTCTCCTTCCTTGTAAGGTAGCTTAACTTTCTTGCACCTCCAATGTATGGTTTGGTTAATTGAGACCAATCCAATAATTTTGTTCCATTTAGTTTGATAGTAGCAGTCTTAGTGTTTAGGCTGTCTCCGTAGCCCCCCTAAAAAAGAACCTGCCCTTGTATTCATCCTTGACTCCTAGTTACCATCAAAGTCAAATGAAAATTTTGCAGCAAGCATCATCTCCAGGCAATACATGATGCTACAAAGCTATCCACAAACTTCTTATCTTCGCACAACCAACTCCTATAGAGTTAAGATGAGTTTTTTTAATACTCATAAAAAATTAGAGGTTTCAAAATAAGTATGGCTAAAACAAAATATCTGCGATGTAAATTTAATAATAATAGGAGTGAAAGTTAGGACACAAATAGGCAATATCTGCGATGTGACCTCTTTCATTACCTTGGTTCAATGATCAATATCAAGGGAGAAATTTAGGGGCTTTTGTGCAAATAAACAAATTTCTGATCAAATTATGATTGCAAATGAATGTGTTGAAGAAAGGTCAAGAAAAAAAGGTGCTATGCAAGTTGGACCTAGATAAATCCTATGATTTAGTGGATTGGACTTTTTTGATAGAAGTCTTATCTTATTGTGGTTTTGGAGAGAGATGGTATAAATGGATCTAGGATTGTTTGAATGCTTGCGGGTACTTGCTTTTAGTGAATGGTACATTGGTGGACTTTTTTCTTGCTAGGCATGGGACCCTCTCTCACCTTTCTTGTTTACACTTGTAGTGGATGCTCTTAGTAGACTTATCTTAAGGGCTGGCTTGAGACAATTGGTGAAAGGCTGGAGAATTGGGAAAGACAAGGTGCTACTAACTCATTTAACGGCGCAGCTCTTTGAGATAATGCCAAGCTTGAAGATTAATTTTGATAAGAGTTGTGGGGCAAGGATTAATTTGGATGATAGGGAACTTGAGGCTGCTAACCCAAAAGAAGCTAGTTTTTGGAGTCTGGTAATAGAAAGAATTTTGAAGAAGCTTGATTGTTGGAAAAAAGAGTACCTATTGTTAGGAGGTAGAATCACTATAATCCAGTCAACCTTAGCTAATCTGCCAGTAGGGGTGTTCAAACCGAATAAGCTAATTCGGTTCGGTTAATTCGACTATCGGTTTGGTTTGGTTTTTATTTTCTAAAAAAAATCGGTTTTTGGTTTCGGTTCGGTTTGACTGAAATTTTCAACCAAACCGAATTGAAAACTGAATTAATGCTGTTATTTAGTTAAGTATATTAAACATTAATGTTTTATTTAATACTTTATGCTAATTAATTATTATATTTCCTAATGAACAATTAATAATAGTTAATTAAAACCTAGACTCATTATTAATTGTTTGTTAGTCATTAATCATTAATTATTTTTGAAAATGGCCAATTTGCCAATTCTCCATTGGCATAGGGCTTTGGGCCTATTTTAGCTTTTAATTAATAGTAGCTAATTAATTAAAACCATTGGGCTTTGGGGTCATTTTAACTTTTAATTAATAATAGTTAATAGTTAATTAATTAAAACCATTGGGTTTTGGGGCCAATTTAACTTTTCATTAATAATACCTATTAAATGCTTGTCATTTATGTGGAACCAAGGTCCAACCGAACCAAACTGAACCAAATTCGGTAGGGCCAGTTCGGTTCGAAAATATAATTCAGTTAGAGGAAATGGTAAAACTGAATAGTCAGTTAGGTCCTTGGTTTGAACCGAACTGACTGATTATACACCCCTATCTGCCAATGTATTATTACCTTTTAGTTTTTAAGGTCCCAGTGAGAATGTGCAGAAAGATTGAGAAGCTGATGAGGGATTTTTTGTGGGAGCCAGGGGAAGAGAAAAAAGGATCATAGAGTTAGTTGGGAAGTGGTTAGTAGGAGCAAGGTGATAGGTGGTTTAGGTTTAGGTTGTTTACAAAGAAGAAACCTAGCTTTGTTAGAGAAGTGGCTTTGGAGATTGCCTCAAGAAAGAGATGAGTTATGGACAAGGGTGGTTTTGAGTATACATGGGCTCTCGACCAATGGATGGGATGTTGGAGCACTGAATCGGGCAACTCAAGCTTCTCCTTAGAAGGCCATTAGTGGTATATTACCTTTTTTTTTCCTTCCTTTGGTCAAGTATGATCTTTGCAGTGGGGACTGGATTAAATTCTGGGAACATGCGTGGTTGGGTCCTTCCCCTTTAAAAAGATCAATTTCTGTCTCTTTTTGCCTTGAGCCATTTCAAAAATCAGCATGTTTCCTAATTCCTTGTTCCTTCTAGTTCTGCTAATGGCATCTATTGGGACTTGGGTTTCTGAAGGGGTTTAAGGGATTCAAAAACTCTTCACATCTTTAACCTGTTGCAACTATTAGAAGAGGTCTTCCTTAATCCTTCCAAACCTTATGGCCAAATTTGGACATGTTCCCCATCCGGTTCCTTTACTTGTGCCTCCCTTTTCAAGGCTTTGTCTGAAACTGATAATAACTCTTCATAACTTTTCCCAGTGAAGGGGGTTTGGTGTAAGCTTATTCCACCCAAGATTAGTGCTTTTTGTTGGGAAGTTGTACATGAAAAGATTAATACCTGTGATTTACTTCAAAAGAAGAGACCACAGTGGTCTTTATCCCCTCATAGATTTGTGCAAGGCCAACAGTTAGAACTACTATCACTTGCTAATTTCCTTTTCTTTTATTGCTTGTATTTGGGAATGGTTTCTCTCTTTATTTGGGTGCAGGTAGACTTCTCCTGATAATGTTCAGAGCCTATTTGCCTCAACATTCTTTGCATGGCCAAATAAAAGGGGTAGGATTATGTAAAAATGCACAAGGGCAGTGATTGTATGGAGTCTATGGACAATACGGGAAGAAAGGAATTTAAGGTTATTCCAGTACTAGGAAAGATTTAAGGAGGTTATTATTGAAACTGGTCTTGACCCTAGGGCATCCCAGTCATCTCCTTGGAAAGCTATCCATGGTGTTTTACCCTCATTTCTTCCGTTTATCAGACTTGATGCTTGTGCAGGGAATAAAGTTCGATTCTGGGAAGATGTCTGGTTTGGGGATGTCTCCCTCAAAGATAGATTCCCATCCATCTACTCTCTTTTGTTGAATAAAGAAAAAACCATTTCCTCTGTCTATCTGAATGGTAACTCTTGGGATTTGGGTCTGAGGAGGGGGTTGAGGGAGTCCGAAATGGGTATGGTTGATGATCTGATTGCCCTTCTTAATACTCTGTTCCTTGATCAGTCTTGCTTGGATAGTAGAATTTGGTCAGCCTCTCCTTCTGGGTTTTTCACTAGTGCCTCTTTTTACAATGTTCTTCTCCATTCATCTAACTTGACAGGAACCTTCCCAACAAAGGAGGTTTGATGTAACTTTGTACCCCCAAAAATAAGGGCCTTTTGCTGGGAGGTAGTACTCCAGAAAATCAGCACCTTAGATATGCTGCAAAAAAGAAGGCCAAACTATTGCCTTTCACCCCACGGGTGTAGCCTCTGCTTGGCCTGTGGCGAGACCATTACACACTTATTTATATCCTATCCTTTTGTAGCCTTTGTTTGGAATTGGTTTTCCTCTCTTTGGATGCAGGTGGACCCCTCCTTTGGATGTAGTAAGACTCTTTGATCCGAACTTCTTTAGACCTCCAAAGAAGAAGGGGAGAGCATTGTGGAGAGCAACAAGAGCAGCTGTTTTGTGGCGAATCTGGGAAGAAAGAAACAATAGGATTTTCCAGGGTTCTGAAAGATCTAAGGAGCAAATCATTGACTGCATATCTACCAAGGTCATTCATTGGCTTAAAGCATCCCCTTTATTTAAAGATTA